ATAATTTTAGGATGGTACAGTAGGTTGGGTGAAAATAATGAATGTCACTGAAAGACACTAATAAGGATATTGTTTTATCTCACATACATCTTAAAACATCACAGAACTGCTACCAATTCCTTATGTAAAAATATTTTCTAGACAAGACACTAAGATTGTAACAGTAAACCAAACACATGAAATCTTTCTAAATTAATCTGAAAATTTAGCAGGAGAAGCTAAAAAGCAGATAGATCACATAATAAAACTGATGTGTTATAAAACAATAAAACAGAAAAAGAGGGCTAGGAAGGGCAGACAGTGGAAGTTGTTTTTCTGTGTAGGCCAATGGAAGGCCTCTGGCACAACTTTTAAAAAGAAACTGGGGGGAAAATATTGAAGTGGGGAAGGGTTATCTCAAGAAAAGCCTTCAAGGTGAAAGGCCAAGTTCACTAAGAGGGCAATGAAAAAGAACTATAAGCCTGCATGCAGTCCGGTGAATAAGAGAAATAGGAGACATCACAAAGGGGAATGGATAAGGCAGGTTATATAGACAATTTCAAGAGTGGCTTCTACTCTGAGTGAAGAGAGAAACTACCAAATGTCTTAGAACCAGAGAAGTGACTGCATCACTCTGGCTGTTGTGCTCCAAATATATTAAAAGATGGCAAGAAAGGAAAGTGGGAGGGCAACTGGCCCTTGTTAGGTGTAATCCAGGGGAGAGACGATTGTGTCAAGGAAGGTCTTGAGTGGAACTGGGAAAGAACAGGAACATGTGATATGTTTTCCTACTGCTGTGGTTAACAAGGGAAGATTAAAAGCCTTGAGTTTAGAATCTTTGACTTTGTGGTCTTTCTCTCACCTCCCTGTCAGATCTATCAGCAAATCTTGTCAATGAACCTTCAAACTATATATTGAATGTATGATATTTCTAAGCAAAGAATGTGGGGAGATTCAAACTATATAAGTAATGAGATGAGATCTAGCAGCCTTTCTGTGGCACATTCTTGATTTTCATGGTTAATGTCTACAACGTTCCACACTTGTGAACACACTGTGATTCAAAGACACTTTTAAAACCCTCCTAATCACACATAGGTACTAAGTGTGTCACCAATATTCACAGCTAACGACGTCTGTTTCAGTTCCAAGCTTTTGTGTTGCCACTAAAGATAAAAGACTCAGTGGAAGAATTTTTAAGTTAAAGAACAAGAAAATAAGCAAATCACATGAGATTTTCTTCCTCTTTACAGAACAGCATAAGAACTGTTATGAGAACTGTATATAAGAACTGTTAAAAACAAAATGAGAAAGGTATCAAGGATGAAGTGTGGGATTCCAGTTGAGAATTGAAAAGCATGGAAAATGCTTGGAATGTGCATTTGGTGGATTAAAATGAAGGATTAATATTTTTTAAAATAGAGAAAAATCACTGAAGGTCTATTGACATCAGTTACTGTATCACAATCTTCTATGCCAGGAGCCTGGCTCCCGTACAGATCCCATGGAGTGAAGGGCCAATGAGTACAGGAGGCAGGGATGCCTTAAGAGATTGAGGAGGACTTAGGCAAAAAGTCTATTTTTATTTTGCATTTCCATGAAGTGAGAAATCGCTACATCTTTTCCCTTATTTTCTAGACACCGGGAGTTTTACTTGTGGTTTTAGATACTCAGGGAACCTAATTTTTGTGTTTTGTTGGTGAAACTCTACACATGCCATCTCCACTTTTACTTTATTCACAGCATTTTATTTTGTGCTGACAATTCCATGTGCTTTCTCAGGAAGAGTTTCTTACTGCCTCTACGAGACAGATTGCACAATAGGTTCTTTGTATGAGCCAGATACTGTGAGACCTGGCTAATTACTGCTCTCTCTCTAGAACCTTCTAACTTCCTAATAGATTTCAGTATCAATATTGATGTTCCTTGCAATCACTTTCAGTCATCGATGAAATAGATATTTTTAAGAGAAATTTTAAGTTTGTTGAAAAATTGGTCAGGAAGTACAAAGTTTCTTCTGTTACTAACATGTTGCACATTTGAAGAACCAGTATCAATATACTGTCATTACCTAAAGTCCATAGCTTATGTTAGAGTTTCTTCTTTCTGTGAGTTTCAGCAGCGTAATGATGCTATCCATTACAGTATCATAGAGAATAGTTTTACCACCTTTAAAATCCCTGTGATGCAAATATTCATTCCTCTCTTTTGGGTTATTTTAAACTCTAAATTTTTTTATATTCTCAAATAGTCTGCCATTACCCTCAATAGCAAACTTTAGATACTCTATATTTCAATCTCTAGATATATCTCTCTAACTTACTAGCTCATTTATATTTTAGCTACATTTTACATGTTTTTCAACTTCATCTTGAGAGTCTGATGAATTTCTACAGAAATGATTTATTTCATTAGATGGATTCCTATGTATTTCAATTTTGGGGTCCTATTTTGAAAGGAACTGTTTGCCCCATTTCTCTCTGTGAGTCTGTTTTTCAGGTACAGGAAAGCTATTGATTTTTGTGTGTTGGTCTTGTATCCATCTACTCTGTGGAATCTGGTCATTAAGTCTAGAGATTTTTGGTGGAGTCCTTGGGATCTTCTAATTAGAGTATGATGTTATTTGCAAATAATGACAACTTGACTTCTTCATTTCCTATCTTTACTCCTTTTACTTATTTCTCTTGTCAAATTGCTGTGGCTAATGTTTCCAAAGCTATATTGAACAGGAGTGGTGATAGTGGATGTTACTTGTCTAGTTCCTGATTTTAGTGCAAAGGATTTGAGTTTTTGACCATTTAGTATGACATTGGCTGTTGGTTTTTCATAGATGGCTCTTATCATATCAAGGTAGAGACCATCTATTCCAATGTTTGGAGGGTTTTATCATGAATGGCTGTTGGATTTTGTCAAATCTACTGAGATGATTGTATGTTTTTTGTCCTTAACCCTATTAATATAGTGTATTATATTTATTGATTTGCATATGTTGAACCATCTCTGCATCCCTGGGATGAATCCCACTTGGTCAGGGTGTATGATCTTGATCATCTTCTGCATTCTGTTTGCCAGAATCTTATTAAGGAGTTTTGCATCTATGTTCATTAGTGAGATTGGTCTGTTGTTCTCTTTTTTGGATGGGTCTTTCTCTGCTCTGGGGATCAAGGTGATGCTTGCAGGAATGAATTTGGGAGTATTGCTTCCCTTTCAATTTCACTGAAGAGTTTAAACAGTACTCACAGTTGTTCCTCTCTAAATGCCTTGTAGAACTGAGCTATGAAATTACCAGGACCTGGACTTTTCTTACTTGGTAGCCAGGTCTGTCACTGATCATGGCCAGGCTTCCTTGACCACTGTAGCTTGTCTTTCATCTCACTTAATTTTCTTGTCAAGTTCATCCACATATCTCAAGCTTGATGTGGATGTTTTAACCTTCTTGGCTCTTGCACTTGTGCATTTCTTCTCTACTCTGGAAAGTCACAGGGCTGTGCAAGGGCTGCAGTGAATGGGGTCAGCTTTACATAAACCTCAGCTCAGTCCTCTCCACCTCTGAACTCTCCTTTTATCCATCCTGATTTAGCAGCAATTCTCACTTCCCAAAATATCTATTTAATCTTTCACCATTTCCCTGTGGGCTCTTACAGACTACCTATTCCCATCATTGTCAATATACTTCATCTCTTGTCTTTATCAAGAAATCCGAAGCAGTAAGATATGATCTTCCTCAACCTCCCAGACTCTTGCTGAGAGATTTAAAAGATATGTTCTCGTCACATTTTTTTCTGTATCAAGGCAACAGTTTTATTTCTTCAAAATCAATTCTCAATCTAATCTTTTTTCTTCTTCCCTATCTACTCTGGAATCTTTATCTTTCACATATCAACATCCTATTCTTATATTAAATTCTCTTTGTATTCCTCAGCTTATAATTATACTCAAGTCTCTATTGTGCAAAAAAAGAAAAAAAACTCCACCAAATTCTATTTTAAAATTCTACTATTCTACTATTAAAAATTCTGTTATTCTATTAGCTCTCGCTCTCTTTCCCACCCCATCCGAATTTTTTGAATGAGTATAGTGTATGCATATTACATTCATCTTTTCATGTCCCTGTTTTTTCATAATCTTTTGCCCTTTGGCTTTTTTCACCACTCTGTAAAGCAATTCTGGTTTAGATCATCAACAACTTCCCAGAAAAGTAAGCAGAGAATGGAGAGCCGGTAGCTTTTGAAAGAGGTCACTGTACTGGATAAATCTGATGTTATGTGGATTATTAATTTAGGACCCACCTCAATTCAGGTGACCCAGGATAGCTTAGATTCAGCAGAAAGTCCAACTGTTATTAGCTAACCCCTACTGAGCCTACAAAAGTCAGTAGAAAATAAAAGGCGGAAGGTTGAGAGTGCCCAACACAAGATTACAACTGTGGCCTATAACACAGTGGTAGAGATTGAATTTTGAGCTTCTCATAGTCCTAAAAATCTGTCAATGCAGAATTTGTTAATTGGTAAGAATATTATTAAAAAAGTAAGGGTCAGTAAAGACACGGAAAACCAACAAAAACCAAGAGTATATGCCACCTAGAGGACTGTACTTTGTGATATTCTAAAAGTTGTTTGGCTTCAATGATGCCAGACAGGTCAGATATCGGAAGGGAATAAAGAACCCAGAAGTAGCACATATGTTGTTCAATACCAGCAGCTGTCATTTTTTTCTTTTTATATGTTTGAACAATAACTAATTGGTTAAGTCAAGGATTATATTTTATATGACAAAATATTCAGGACAGGAGTTTGGCAATGTCAACCTTTCTCCTAAATGCTCTTCTATTATAAGAATTTTTTTCACATTTATTTTTCTGTTGTCACCCAATTTTCTCTCCACAAAGTACACACAATGATATAAGGTGAAAGTTCTGTATCTAACACTACAACCTAATGCACTACATCACACTTATTTGACATGAAATTAGTGTTCAGGGTTTACAACTCCAGGTATGAGATAAATAAAGGAATTCTTACCTTAAAGACTAATTCCCCTACCAAACCATTCCATGTCCCGTCTTCTTGTGGGCTTCCATACTTGTGATCTGGTGCAACATAAACTTCATAGTTGAAGCCCAAGTAGTTGGATAAGGCATCCAAAACATCAATGGAGAAGCCCTGGTATTTCTTCGGCTTTCCCAAGACATTTTCAGAGACCATGACGAAAGGTTCTTCCTATGTGGATATAAGAAACATTCAACTTCAATCAGTATTGTTTCCTAGAAGTAGAGATTAATTCTTTAAAGAGTTTTGCTTACAAGGTCTAAATACTGTTTTAAAATTTGGAATAATATACTCAGGAATACCATTTATGCATTATTAATGCATCATGTCTCACTCTGAACAATGTTGAAAGGGACTAAAATAATTCAGAGGCCACAAGTTCATGTTTCCTGGCATCTCAAGAAGAATCTAAAATTCATCAGCAATAAAGTGGAGTTTGGAAATCCTGGTTCTATAATACTTATTTTATACATTCTGTGTATATTTTACATAGATAGATAAAATGATATCTAACAGATAAAATCTATATGCAACTCTGAAAAGAGAAAATATTCTAAGAATATATAATTTAGCTAGTGTTTATAATATCATATATGCTAGAAGCTATTTGCTAATTTTATAAATGTAACATTTATATGCATTTCATTGCAAAAACAGCTTCTTTGATACTTTAAGAAAATTATTCATCTTCTTGGTAGACTAATTTGATAAATTTGACAAACTGATTTCTGCTATCACCTCTTTAATCTGCTCCAATTTTTATTTTTTAAAACTAACACATCAGCCCTTTCACTTTGGAATTTTCAGTATTGGAAGAGCTTAGTTGGTTGAAATATGCTGACAGATCACAGAAAATTAGATAATCAATTCCTTAATTTCCTCATCTTTCTCAGAACTCTTAAAGCAACAGTAGTGCTTACAGATAACCATTTGTGATCTTTGTGGTCCATGCAGTTCACTGGGCAGTCTAAGATCTCTCTTGGGTATAAGTCAGAATATGGAGATATTTATAAATCATTCATAAAATCATTTTATAAAGTCATTTATAAATCATTTTTCCTTTGGGATGTCCAAAATAGTTTTTTCACGTGTGAAATACTACTACTTTTTTGTGGCTTTTACTCAGGACACTTAATAAGGGACTTATAAATTCAGTGCACCTGTAATGTAAATATAAATATTGTACACCGTAACACTCAGTTTTCCCCTAAAAATTGCCATGAGATAAATTTTTGTAATACTCAGGGACAAAGAGTTTCATTTTGCTGCAGTAATGCCTTTTAAAAAAATAATTTAGCTAAATATTGAGCTTTCCCTTTTTTACTTGTATGCCCGGAAAATCAGTTTCTTCTATGTCCTGGTAACTATCTGAGACCACACTTTTCAGAGAACCAAGATAGATGTCAATATCCCTGACACTTGGTATGCTGTACCAGGCTATGACTGCTTCGCTG